TAACTCGGAAACATCAAGGAAACCATGTCCCTGGTGTTCATCTTTAATGCCACCTGTGACCTCTCTGAGTGAAGTCAGTCTGCTATGTGACCTCGCTCACTCACACAGATAAAACATCCATTTAGTTTTGGATTTAAAGCAAACAGGATCATTATGTTTGTAGAGGGTTCCACAGCTCTGCTATTCTAGCAGTCTGTGACCTATAAATAATGCAGGACCGTTTCCTTCGCTAAATGACTTTCTTGCAGCATGAGTCTTGAAACATGGAGACCTCCCCCCCAAAAAAGAGGGAGAAACTACCCTACAGTCATGGAATTCAATCTATTTCTAATTCACCAATAGAATTATGAATCAGATCAGTTTTCTGTCTTGTAGTTGCTACAGCAACTCGGTTTGGAACATTTCATCGTATCAGTCTATTATTTCTGTAATCAGAGGAAAAGCAAATCCTTGTTAACCTTTAAAAATCTCATGTCTTCCTTTGCCACGAAGAATGGATACACACACACACACATATGTGTGTGTATTTCTACAAGAACCCTGACCTTTGAACCACAACCTCCTTGCCACTACAGCATTCAACACCTCATTTAATCTCCCCTCTCTGCCTTGGCATAGTGCTGAGAAAGGAAACGGAAAAAATAATCTGGGGACTTCATCAATTTTTCATGAATTTTCATTTAGGCCAGGGCCCCCTCTTACCCTGGTCGATAGATCAAGCTGCTGTCATATACTCACCACCTGGGGCTTCAGCTGCTATCTCCAGGGGCTGCCACCGACTTAGGCAGCATCCCAAGCAGCCGCAATCTGCGCGAGGACCCTGTGCCTTTCCAGCTCCTTAAAGGCTGAAACCCAATCCTTACCAGCCCCGGTCCCTATTCTGCTGGTGGTCCCTCTGGAAAACCTAGCACTAACTTCTGCAGCGCCAAGCTCGGCAGAGGACCATGCAGCTTCCTGAATGTTCAACACACACACATAGATATATTTGGCCGTAAGCCTTTTCTAAGTTCAAGTTATTACCCAAACAAATTCTGTGATTTTTATAACCATGAAATTAGTGGGAGGCAATTCTGGATTGCTATTTATCTTTCAAGATCATGGGGAGGAGAGGGGAGGAAAAATATGAAGTCAGGGATGCAAGTCTCCATTATCATGATTAGGCCTGATATTTTTTCTTCACAAGATTTCATAAAGAAGAAGTATTTATTAAGACACAAAACCACAAATGTATTTGTTAAAGAGCAGGCTGACATATTGAACCAATTAAGAGAGATTGCTATAAGTTTAGAAAATCTTCACGTTTCGTACTATACTGTATCAGAAACCAAGATTTTTGAAATTAAAACTGAAGTCCAACATAAAGCAAAGAAAAGCTGCTAATGTTTCCATATTCTAGAGAAGCAATAACTTCACAATCAAGTTTCTGACTAATTTGCCTATTACTTATCCATACCCCTTGACCACTGCCACCCACCCACTTCAGTGATGTTCAACTAATTATAGTGTCAAAGAACATTGAACAAAATCCAGATTTTTGGTTGGTTGTTTCTCTGCCCCCAAAGGCTATCGTGTCAGGTTTGAGAGGCCCCGCTTCCACTCCCTCAGTTCACAGTCAGAGCGAAGTCCTTGAAAGACAGTTACCATTTTCCAGCCCCCACTCCTAGCAACTCATTTTATGACACTTTCTCACCATGAAAGCCCACAACAAGTTCTCAGTTGAAAAGTATCGTCTTGTCATTCGTAGCATCGCTCTGCCACTTCTCCAGAGCCCCTGCACTGGTCTTTCTTACCCTTTAACACCCTTAACTGTTAGTGTCCTAAGAAGGGGTATGGGCTCGGGCTTTAGTAACGGCTCCCTGCGTAGAACCTGCCTGGGCAATCATGTTAGCTTCTGTCTCTCCTCGAGGATCTGATATCTCTGTGGAAGGAGCACTCCTCTCAGTTCTAGAACACAAAAATCTCAGGGGCACGTGAAGTCTTACAGTCTACATTGACACATTCTCCTTTCTGTTTCATGTGACTTCTCTGGCACTTCCAGGAATTGATTTGATGACAGTAGGTGTGGATTTTGGATTTGTAGATGACAACACTGTATTTCCAGTCAACCAGCTTAAAAAAATCAATCTGGGAAACTCCCTCTCTTCCCACCACCCTTTTCCTCATTCCCCATAACAAATTAAGCGCAACGTGATGTGATGTATGATCCCGAAATAGGTTTCAAAGCATTTCCTTCTTTGAATCTTCAGAACCACTTCCACAGTTCAAAATATAATACCATGACTTTCCAGCTATATTTGAAAGCTTTCACTTTTATCTGACTTCAACTTGAATCCTTTTAACACAATCTTCAATTTTCTCTCAGAGGATCTACCATAACAAAAAAAGTATGATGTGGCGCATGCACAGCGTGTTAGGAAGAGAAAATGGAATCCTGAAAGAGGCTGTTACATTCTCTCCTCCTAGAGAATCTTTCTCTGGAGGCCCCGTACCTGTCCTTTACCTCAGAGACTAAATGACATATCCTCTCAGAATTCTTTAAAAACACTTCTGCCTGGGAAGATTGTCATATTCTTCATTTTGTGTGTCTATGGTACCTTTTGCATCCTTTAGTACTTTTATGCTTATATTTTTATTATTTGAAATCTGTCTGCTGGCATCCCAACTAGATCACAGTTCCTTGAGAAGAGGCTCCAGTGGCTCTTATGAGTTTTAACACAAGACATTTTCTGTAAAGGGCCATTTTCCTTTAGTGGATGAAAGAATTGATGAGCCACTGATGGAGCCTTTAGGATGACTCTTCTAAACTGTGAAGGCCAAACATGTCTATGATCTGCAGCTCTTCCTCTATCATTTCACAAGTACATGGTTGGTGACCAATAGGTATTGAAAAATCACAATGTTTTAACCTCAAGACTCTACTTGGCTACATTTGATGATTCACAAAGGAAAAAGACTAGGGAGTTCATGTGAAAGGGATGAGAAGCATAAACAAAGAATACTATTTGATATCACATTCCCTCCCATGGCATGAATGGTTGTCATGGCATTGGAAAAAGGCTCCCATTCACTAGCTGAAGCCAGTTTAGAAACATTCTTATTTTCTCCTCTCTGTCAGAGTAATTCAGAGAGTTGACCAAGCTCATTTATTTTTTTTTTAAATTTAATTCTACTGTCACAAAACAAAAATAAATATCATGGTTTAAAATCTTCTCCCTAAAAGAATTTGATTCATTATTAATGATGCAATTAGGGAAGAGAGCAATTCCTTTAGAGTAAATAAGAGAACTAGATGCACATGTGTGGGAAGCAAGTCTAACATAGCTCAGATTCGGAAAAAATAAAACGTTGACAATGGTACAACAGTGAAATGAACAGCCAATTAAGAAAAACAAAACGCCTAGAAGTAAAACAAGCAAAGTTTATAAAGAGAGTCATCTGGTAGAGAGATCAAAGAAAACAACACAATTGAATAATTGCAAATGTTCGCTATGTCAAGCAGGTCAGATTTCCTTTAGCGAATTTTAAACACATCATAATTCCTAAAAACTAAGAATTACAATATTTAGAATTTGATCTTGAATTCCCCATTAACTGGTCTAAATTTAGGTCTCTTAAATATGCTTATTTCTGGACATTCTAGAGCAGGTTAAACTATTTTATTGCCATATTCTGTTGGTCATGTTTCCCTCACCAGAGCCTTTTGTGGTAAATAGGGCAGATATTATTCTCCAAGTGTATACTTAAAGAAAAATGATAATTAAAATATTTCCCAATGAAAACATAACATTTCAGAACACTTATATACTTGAGGTTTTGTGTTTATATTTTATAGCTCATCAAAGTATATTAAATATACCTTCTTTTAAAGCATCATTTTATATAAATTAAATTACCTGCCAATAGGTACAGAATTTCAATTCTAGCTAAAGTTCTAATACTTGTAATACTCATATTTCAAGATACTTCACCAGTCAAATTTGGATCTCAACATTTCTTCTATCTTTTGCTATTATTGACACATTTCAAGTATTATTGATTTCCAGGATCCTAGTACAAACTGTAAGTGAGAAGACTAGATTCTGGGCAGTAAAAGCTTTCACTGGGAACTTCAAATAGAAAACAGTAGGGTTTTGTTTACTTAAAAATAATTATATGGCTGAAGACAATTACGTATAATTGAGAATCTTAAAGTTGCATATCCAAAATTTTTGTAATCCAATAAACTACTATACACCATGCCAGTACAAAGAAAACTCTAAATAAAGACACAATACTATCAGATATTATTTATCAACACCCTACTAGCTCCATAAATAGGGTCCTTACATTCTGAAAAATTCCTCAATCCCCTTTATTTATGAGGATCTATTAGTGCAACTACAAAAGTGAAGACTATGGGGTTATTTAAGGTGAAGTTCCTGGCATTTTATTGATAATCCACTTTAGATCATCTATTTCAGATTGTCCACTTTAGATGAACTATTCTCACAATAGATAATTTAATATTATAAAAGACTGGATAAAATATAACCTATAAACTAAGGATAAAAACTCGTATGCTAGTGTTTGTTTTCCAAAGTGATCAGTGAAGTTGTTGTTGAGCCAATATCCAAATTGATGCAAAACATGAATGCCCTTGTTTATGTATATAAGCTATTAATTAATACTTAAGTTTATTCATATGTAATTATATATACATATAAACTTAAGTGTTCATATGTGTAAACTTAAGTGTTAATAGCTATAATCTTGGATTTCTTTACTTGCAAATTGTTTGTTTTAAATACGACTAGCACGATCATTACCCACACATTAATTTAAGATAAACTTATTGAAAGAGCGCTGTCATGACGTCATTTTGAGCTAACTAGTTGTGGTTGGAGAAGAACTGTAAAAGTATGCAGAATGTGTTGACTGTTTGGTTCTATAAGTATTAAGCATGTGTAGGGACAAAATTCAGTCTCACTATGCAATATCTGAAGTTTAACATATTCACTTACATGCCACTTCAAGAGATGCGTTTCGACTCACTGCTTCACCAAGATAGTTCCTTGCAACGCAAACGTAGCTTCCTTCATCGGGTTTACTTCTGCGCCCATGCACAATCCGTAAGAAGAATAAGGAGCCGCTGGGCAGAAGCATCCTGTGCGACCGGGGATCATCCTTATCGGTCTCCACCCGCTCACCATCCTTGTACCACTCAATGGTGGGCGTTGGCCGACCCTCCGCCTTGCAGTTCAAAGTGGTGGGCTCTCCTTTGGAGACGATGACATCTGAAGGGTGCTCCACAATCCGTGGAGGAAAGTCTTCCTGGCGAAGACGAGATCCTAAAAAACACGAGGAAAAAAAGCAAGCTTCATCATTTCCTTATCTATGGTTTTTATTCCACTTCGGTTCATGCCAGTGAATTATTCTCTTCAATTATTCAAAATGCACTTATTAGTTTTTTATTTATATTTCACTCTTATCGTAGGCATCTTACAAATCATCCTAACTCCTCTACAGAACGAAACAATTTAATAATACATTAATGTGTTAATTCTGATGAGGTAAGCTAAACATGCCTCACGAATCATATCAAGTAAAAGTGCAAAAAAAAGAGAGACTTTTTGCGGGGACTGGAGTGTTGGAATGGGTGGAAAAATTAAACTCATCACCTGTCCTGGAGACCCTTGGGAAGAAGTTAATAAGACAAGTATGGCGAATACACACACAGTTACCATTTGCTATGTAAGCACTTTAATATCAGACTACAAAATTAACCAGCAAAGTGTGTACATAACACAATGCTAAAGGGAGAAGAAGCATAAGAAACTATATTGATTATCTAAGACTATAGATGCAGTTGATCCAGATTTTGAAGCCAGGTAAAGCTAACTGAGGAACTCAACTATGAATCACTATTCAAATAAATGAAGTATTTCAACGAGGTCTAAGAAATGCACTGAGAAAAGGGTAAGAGGCTACTACCTGGGAAAAAAGGCATTGGAATTGAGCTGCAAAGGAAACATTTGTTAATTGAGGTGGAAAGGAATTCAGACTGAAGCAGAACCTCTAGCAAAAAACCAAAGAGGTGAGAATAAATATTTTACAAGGAGCATTTTCTAATCAGAGAGGAAGTTGATGTGGCAGGTGAGAGATGGGACTTGGCACCAGAGCAGAAAAGACTTTGACTATCATGCTAATGAGCAACAAGGCCATTCTGTCTGGCCAAGGGTTGGGGAGAGGCAGTGATATATTAGAAGTGACTTCCGGTTTGCAATGTAAAAGATGGACAGCAATGGATAGGAAATGGCAGTGGAGAGTTACTTAGTCTAAGAGCAGTAAAAGTAACCTGACTTTGGGAAATGAATCTGTAGTTAGAAAGAAGAAATACATAAATCATGTAATAAAATAAATGCAGAATTTGGTGTACCATCACATAAGAAGAAAGCAAAGTGCTGATAGCTTCCTTGTTAATGGAAGGGCAAGGGGACAACAAGTGATCCAAAATCAATGTCAAGGAGGGCGTGGGAGGCTTTGCAGGGATGGATCAAGGTCAATGTAACCGAGAGGAATGCCTAAAACCCAAATGAAGGCAGAACATGATAGTGGGACAAGAGGAAAGTACAAAGAAATAGAGGAAAGAACTAGGAGGCAAAGGGTAGTCATAGAGATGTAAATACAGGCATATGAAGATATAAATATATTTATATATGATGAGGGGGAAATATATCTATGTATATATTTTTATAGGTTGAGTATTTAGTAAACAGATGGACAGTGGACCCCTGCACAAGTACTCCCCAAACACAAGAACATTTTGTTCTAACAATTCTGCAGTCTGAGATGCTCACCTGCCTGGCACGATCGCTGAAGACAATGGGTGCACAAGCAAGTTGGTGAAGAAAGCTGATGGTGCCCAGCTACCAAAAGATATAGCACCTGAAACCTTAAAGACCTGAAGATAAATAAGCAGCCATCTAG